CCACGGGTACTTTGGCAGCGTTTTGTGTCAGTGGTTCTGTGATGTTGTGATTGTTGTGTCAGAATTTTGATGTGAGAGTGTGCGTTGATCCAAAGGCCCACGTGTACTTTGCCGCGTGAGTGTTTCTGTGATGTTGTGATTGTTGTGCCAGGATTTTGATTTGAGAGTGTGCGTTGATCCAAAGGCCCACGTGTACTTTGGCAGCGTTTCGTGTCAGTGGTTCTGTGATGTTGTGATTGTTGTGTCAGGGTTTTGATGTGAGAGTGTGCGTTGATCCAAAGGCCCACGGGTACTTTGGCAGCGTTTCGTGTGAGCGGTTCTGTGATGTTGTGATTGTTGTGTCAGGATTTTGATCTGAGAGAGTGCATTGATCCAGCGGCCACCCCTCGGCATCCCTTGGTGCAGAATAGAGCCTGTAATTATGCTGTTTATGCTGGCGCACGGGGCCAGCATCATCAGCATCATTGGGATTCCGCTTCTCGAGTCTGAGGTCTTCCAGCACCCTCTCAAACCTTGAAACCCTGCTTGCCCGGCTTGGATGGGCCTCGGGGCTAATTTTAGCAAGGAGCGTTTGTGGGCACAAGCTGCTTGAATTATGCCCAAGTGCGACGGATGCACCTTGCGTTGAATCGTGACGACTGAGAGGATAGAGATGCAAGTCCGTGCGCTTCATCTAAGCCACATGAAGATCTGAGCGTTACAATCATGACGAATTGGGCGCGGACATTGCAACAGGAATGTGATGCGGTACTTGAAATAGTAAGACCCAAAGCAGGGCATGCTGATCTTCCTTGTCTGGGTAGTACGTCAAAGGGTCTCTCAGGGTATTTTCAAGATTTCAGGTCGCATTGTGAAAGGGGACCAGTACAACAAAGCAGCCGCACAATAGATAGCAAGCCAGTCTCCATGTAAGCCCAGTTTCCATTTCATTTTCCATATTCCTTTCCAGTTGATTCTCCATTATGCGGATTCCATCCGTATTAAATCCCACAAGATGCCCATACGACCCCTACACAACCCCTACATAATCCCAGAACAACCCGTAATAACCTCTGACACCCGATATGAACACTACATCTTCAGCTTAGGATTGTAGCCTCGGGGCGTCCGCGCTGCTTTTCCAGAAAAGCCACTTTGGCCAGCCAAGGTAAACTGAATCGCCTAAAGCCAGTTAATCATGATAAGGCACATAAATCTTGGAAATACTCAGCATATCCCAGGCGCATACCCACAAGGGAAGTTGTGGTAAGGGGGATGGAGTTTGGATCCAAGAGATTCTGCTCTTGCAGGCCCTTTTTGGGACCTTTTAAATTAATAGGTATTTTGTTAGAACAACCTCAAGGCGGCCAGGGCTTTCGAAAGGGTAGAGCAGCTAAGGGTGCAAGAGACAGTGTCAGGGGTTAGCTTAGGGCAAAGACTATGGGCATTAAGGCCAAGGCGGCAAGAGGTGAGTGGGCAGGGATGTAGGCGGCCCAGGGGAAGAGTAGAAGGGTAAGGGGACGTTGTAGGCAGAAGGGGTCCGGGTAACGAAGGGCAAGGGTTAGGCAACGGGCTCATGATAGGGATAAGCCAAGAACACTTGAAGGCATGGGGGCTTCTGGTAAGGAGTAGGATTTTGGGTAAAGATGGGGGTAGACGTGAAGCAAGGGTAAGCGCACGGGTACAATGTCCACGCATTTTGGGGTACACAAGGGCGCCTAATGTTGACAAACACCTACATTGTCTGGGGAATCATCTAGAGTAGTGATCAAGAGTTTGTGATACAAAAGAAAGAGTGGGTTGAATTCAAAGCCCGGGTCATGTGAAAGTAAGGTAGCACAGAGTAGAAGGGTGTGTCTGAATCGGTTTCACCACCAGACAGATTCCTGAGTCGGAGTGTTGCATTTTCTTGCCAGTCCAATCGTTGGTGAGACATCTGCAACTGTCTTCGCCGCATGAGAAGTGAAACAGATGGAGCTGTGCCAACTCGAGGTATGCCGTATGTAGGAACTTCCCCTTTCCAGTGTCCGAGAAAAGGGTTCTCGAGCTTGCGAGAGGTGTTGTTGGATTACTATTTGAATTTGAACGGGTGTTGTGTACCAGGTGGCCGGCTTCCGATTTTCCACCGATGCCTCGCAGCCTCTCTGGTGGCCAGCCTGTCTTCGCAGGAGTTGAGTAGGGAGTAGTTCTAGAATTCAGGATGTTTTGGCGAGCTTTTTCGCATCATCATGCTGATCGCGATATGGTCCCCACCTCTGGGGTTGGAAAATTACAAGGACAGATGCCCGCGAGGAACGCGTGTCCGCACGTAGCGGGGCAGCGAGAACCACTCCGTGAGTAGGCGCCAGCCAGTTCAGATACAAGAGGCAACGTAGAAGAAAGGAAGGACGACAGACAACAGGACACAAAAAGAGGACAGACAGCGCAACAGAAGAGGAGAAGAGAACAGATCAGAGAAGAGGCAGGAGCACAGCAGAAGAGAACAAATCAGAGAACAGAAAGGAGAACATAGAGAAAGACAGATACGAGGACGCCAAATGGCGGCCAGTGGAGGTTTCAGGCCTCCGAGTGCAATCGAATAATCTGGGCACCCAAAGAGCAGCCAGTGAAGGTCCGGGGCCTCCGAGCGCACCGCGCCCAAAAAGCAGCCAGCGGGCCTCCAAGTGCAGCGCAGTAATCTTGGCGCCCAAAGAGCAGCTAAGACGTGTCAACCGACAAATGCTATTATCACTACACTGACCGCAAAAGCGTGGTGTCCACTTTGTGCTGTGCAGGACACCGCACACCACGGTAAAACACCATGTAATTCTGGTGGTGTCCTGCGCCTCCATAATACCAATGGACACCGCCTCCTGAACGGCGCCGTCGACGACGTCCGCAATTTCTGTGTCAGGGTTTTACGAGGGATAGGGGTGCGTGCGCCAAGACGTTAACAAACCGCTCGTTCTTTCCAATGTCCAGCTGGATTTGATTGTCTTGTCTTGTGGTGCGAGAGCATGGGGCAACGCTTGAGCTGCATTTGATTGTTTTGTGGCGCGAGGGGAGCGATCGGGTGATTGAGCTGGATTTGGTTGTTTTGTGGTGCGAGCGCATGTGGGAGTGACTGAGCTGGATTTGGTTGTTTCGTGGTGCGAGAGCATGCGGGAGTGATTGAGCTGGATTTAATTGTTTTGTTGTGCGGGAGCATGGGGGAGTGATTGAGCTGGATTTGGTTGTTTTGTGGGGTGAAAACATGGCGCAGAGATAGTGGTGGACGTGCTTGTTTTGTTGCGTTCATTGATGGGTAATTTTTGTTTGTTTCTATTCAACCACCGTTGCTACCATGCTCACCATTTTGTTGGTGACTCACTTTGGACGGCATTCTTCACAAGCATTCTTTTTGTTTTTGCAAGATCCACCCTAGGCTTATCGTTGCTTTTGCCAAGGATATTTTGGGTACAAAAACAAACCGAAATTTTCCAGATTTGTCATCCAGTTTTGTCCTTTTTACATCTGCCTTTGCCAAGGACACTTCGGGCACCAAAAGTTAACAAGATTTCCGTTCTTTTCCAGTGTTCAAGTTAATGGTACGGACACTCCGGGCACGAAAAGGGTAATAAGCTTCCCTAGAGCTGGTTAGAAGCAGTCACTGAGCTCAGCATAAGTACGAGTCATTCTTATTGCAAGCATCGCTGAAATTTCAGTACCGGTGAAATGTTGCAAGCACTGATTTTGGATGATTTTGGTATTCATGCACCTAAGCGCCTCGGAAGGTGCATCAAGCATGTTGGCCCGACTTCAGGTGGCATGGCACCTGGCGCCAGCTTCCGGCGGGGCTGGGGAGGGCACGGAAGGGCAGGTCTTGCTTGGATTCCATTCGGAGGTCTTGGTTGAGATTTGATGGGTTGGTCTCCTTTTCCAAGCTGTGGCAATGGTTAGGCAAGCTGAAAGGAAGGCGTGTAGTCGCAAAGAGAGTGCCGCAACAGGTCTGCGTCTGGATGCATGCCGGCTCTAATGCATTATATAATATAACCCATATATACTAATAGTAGCTTCCATTTTCTTTTCCATTATCCCAATATTACCCCAACATAACCCCTATAATCCCTATATAACCCATTATAGTAGTTTCCATTTGATTTTCCATTACCCCCATATAAACCCCAATATAACCCTATATATCCCTTTAAAGGGACCTAGGGTTTCCATTTTCTTTTCCATTATCCCAATATTGCCCCAACATCACCCCTGTAATCCCTATATAACCCATTATAGTAGTTTCCATTTGATTTTCCATTATCCCAATATATATCCCATGCTACTTCATCCCGGGCTCGTTTGATCCTTGTTTCTCTGGCCCCTGGCCAGAACTTAAACGATGCACGTGTGGGAGGAGCACTTGCTGCGTCTTGGCCTACTATAGTATACTGGGGTTTATATGGGGATAATGGAAAATCAAATGGAAACTACTATAATGGGTTATATAGGGATTAGGGTTTAGGGTTAGGGTTGGGGTTATATGGGGATAATGGAAAAGAAAATGGAAACTACTATAGTATATTGGGGCAGCTAGGAGCTTCTGTTTCCCCATGTGAGGAATGCAAATATTAGATGGCTTGGATGCCGCCTGCTTTGTGGAAACTGAGCATTTGATTACATGAGTAAAGAAAGGTGTGCTTTCTTTGAGCCAGTGGTGGCAGTGGGGCGGGCATCATGCTGCTGTGGCTGAGGTGGTCTACGACCGTTTGTACATTACTGGAGGTTGGCAGAAGAGAGCCTGAAATTCTTCTAGAGTGACTGTGGTTCTGACGAAGTGATTGCCAGACTTCCCCAACAGTCCAAATCATTGTGTCTTGAGCACGCAAGCAAGGGCTTTACGTGAGAAGTTTTGGATGTCCATGTATGTCAGCAGGCGTCGACGAGGATACTGGCGAGTTCTACGACACGGCAGAGCGCCTAGAACAGAACTCCTGGGAATGTGCGGGGCTCGGCTTCCTTCAAGACTTTTGCCGCTCTTCTCATCAGTTGCGCTGTCAGGGACCTTTGAGTTCCCAAGACCCGAGTGCTTGTACGCAGTTGGCCGGTGGCAGCTTTCAAGCATTGCAGAGTCCAAGGCGTTCCTTGGTTCCAGATGCCCCGCGCGTCTCTTGGCCGGCATGCTGAGGTTTGGGGGAGTGGGAATAAAGTTGATTTCTAAGGGGCACGGCATGTCTCACAAGGATGAACAAGTGTCAGAGGTGGACTTGGTAGTTTTCAACAACGAGCGGACCCCAATATAGCTCCCAAAATGTTACGGTCCCTATTATGGGTGCCCCGAAAATGGTACCATTAGCTTTGGACAACTCCCATATTCATGTAAGCCCTGACGCCCGAATGGACGCTGAACAAACCTAGCCAAGGTTGCACGCGCACGAGGCGCACGCCCTGCCTTACCTCCCCGCTGCAGCTTAGCTGCCCACAGGCAGCCACGTCGGACATAGCTCTCTGTGAGCAGAGATTTGATGATCTCGATCGCTCTGCACAAAGTGGCAGGCTTCAAAAAGAAACAGCCTCATGATGCCTCATGGTCCGAGACATTGGGAGTCAACATCAATATGGGTATGCATCGTGGCTGTAGTACAGATACTTATCTGCGGTATGCCGTTCCAGAAAAAAATCCGGCTACTTCTGATGTTGTGGCTCCCTCGCATTGCTGCATGTAGCACTCGACAGTAGCAGATTCCGCACAACGGCAGTGCACTGTGCCTGAGATACATCTGGCTTGCAGCCGCAGTCGCCCGCTCATCTCGTATCACGTGCTATAAAAACGTGGCGTCTCATTGAGGGCAGCAGCAGAGTCGAGGAGACCTATCCCGGCAGTTATAAGGGTCTTCAGTTTGTGTGTGTCCTTCAAGGATGTTTTGATTGACAGCCATTCGCCATGCAACCTGCTGAAGAGCTGCTGACGATTATCATGGCAGCTTGCTCGCAGCACAGCATGTGATGAATGCAATGACCAAGCACGTGTGCATCGAGACTTGCAGACACGCGAGGTAACCTCTCCAGTGCCTTCAAACCCGTCTACAGAGATGCTGGAGCATGTCCTGTCATCATGCGCGACTGCGGGAGGCTCCATAGCAGCAAATTGGGTGTCAAACAGCCGCAACTACAGTTAGCAACAGAAACCAGGATAAGCATAGAAATTGAATGTCGCATCTTCTAACAGGGCACAGGGAGACGTGGTTGGGGCGGTTAGTTGGCACCAACACGCACCTTTGCTGGAACTTTGTGCAGTGTCTGAGGTTTCGAGGCTTGTGCCAAGATCGTTGTTTCCGACGGCTTCAGAGTGGCGTTGCCTGGTCAACGCCCCAAGCCCAAGGCTTGTTGAGCAAGGGTAAAACAGATGAGCCTGAAGCTTCAAATCAGAGGAGGGCATGCTTGGTGATGCCAGCGGTTGATGTCTGTGGGGCAGGCTGGCAGGATTCCTCCGGAGTGGGAGAAGCCCTATGAACAGTTCAGGCGAGTTTTCTTGCAGTTTGATTTCGTGCCACTCGAACAAGGAATTCCTCGAAATCAAGGCAAGCCAAGCAGTGATGAAGCCAAGTAGACTTGCCAGTCAACCTTCGAAGTGCAAGCTTTCTGCCCACTTATGGTATGCTGTTCAACTGTGCTCGAGACGTCAAGGGGGTTTATTTGCAACATCCCTCGGGTTGCCAGCGCTTGAAGCCCGAATGACATCGCAGGCAGTGCTTGGACAACCCGCCGGACTCCAGTTCCATCATAGGCATTCGACACATTTGTGCGCGGGAGCACAAGGCTCAGCTTGCCAGCATCTGTCAAGATCTAGTTGCTACTGAAGCTTGTACCTAGACGTTCTCTCGGGGTGCGATCCGCTGCAGTGGTTTGCCCGGTTGACACATATTCTCTCGAAGTATCACATCAGATGCCTCGCAACAATTCGCCAGGGCTTCGCAGGCTGCCTGCACATAGCGCTTCGGCAGGCGCTCATTCGCCAGGGTTTGGCAGCAGCTTGATGTGAATGCGGTCCTGGTTTTTTGATGAGTGTGGTGGGTGCTGACAGCTGGTTGAGTGGTCTGCAAGCTCAGTAGTGTTGATAAGTTACAGCAGCAGTGTAGGGCAATGTTGTAAATTATCGTCCACACTTTAGCACAAGATCGTTTCAACATCTGCGACTGGGGTCGCCGCTCGGCTTGCTGGCACTTCTTGCAATTCATCACGCCTGGCAGGTCGTAACGCCGTTAGTTCTGGTGCTTCAACATGATCGTCCTTGTCTGCGGCCATTTGATGGCGCAGGCTCACAATAAGGGCTGTTAGACTCCTACATGACGCAATGAGTTTGGTTATTGCCTGACTTTTATTGGCACAGGAGAGCTCATGCAAAAGCACCAGCAAGATGACATGTCTTCCAGAGCAGCGCGTGCGTACTGACCACTTGCAGCCACTGGCATCAGCATGAGTGATATCAAGTACCTAGGGCAGGCTGGCAGGCAAGATACATTACTAGTATTATTGCCATTGCTACTCTTACTAGTATTATATACTACTAGTATTACCGTTATCACTATTACTACGATTATTAATATTTTTACAGTTAACATGCGCAAGAGGGATTGCCGCGGCATGTTGTCAAACAGAGCTTCGCGCGTTGCAAATCCGGGGCCCGGTCCAGGCCCCCGGCCCCGGCAACTTTGCACCCAACTGCAGATTCCTTGGGGATCCTTCCTTACTTTGGCACTTCTCCGCCGCTATGACTTATGATGAACGTCAGTATTATGGTATGAGAGATAGCTGTTCTGAAGGCCTCCTGAGCGCCATGCTCACCTGCCCGCAGCTGAAGTACGTTGGTTTGCCTACGAAGGCTCTTCATGCTCACGAGCTGCATGCCAAAAGTGTTGCCATGTTGCCAGATCCCACCCTGTGCGGGCATTCAACCTCAACACCCCCAAAACCCTGACTCCCAGACCCAGCTGTACCAGTCAAGCTGATGATTGCCTGTTTGGAAGCCCTTGGGTATCCATGCTTTTCCAGAGGCGAGCCTGGCACGGACGGACCCGTCACACCTGGCCGCAGCCGCAGGATCTGCCTGGGTTGTGCAGGTTTGAGTCGGATGTTTTTTTCTTTTTTCTAGACCTGTTAGAATAGGCCTCTATTGCATCTGCAGAACCCTGAAGCAGGCTGGAGCCTTCAAAGTCAGAACCAAAATCTGAGAAATCTCCGAGGCCAGCAATTGGCATCTACAGCCGCAGGCCCCCGCCACTTCTGCTTCCGAACGCGCAGCATGTAGGGCCCATCCCAAAACCCTTGCAGTGTCTGAAATTAATAAGCATTGTAAATATTTGACACGCAAAAGTGGGGTTTCTCTGGTTGCGAAAGATCTTAGGAGGCACCTCGAAAGGTGCCGGGATAGAGTAGCATGAGCCATATAGACCCGGCGTTGTCCCGATATAGCTTTTGCGGAGTTTCTAGCGAGATGGCGATTTCCAGAGGAAGATTGGACAACCCCAACGTAGTGAAGTGGGACTCCAGTGAGAGAATAAGCACCCCGAAGCTACTGGTGAGCTTTGTATAATCTGCTTGTTCCTAACCATGGGACGTCATCACGAGATGCGTGCCCAAGGCATGATTGCTTGTCAGACAAGTGAGGCTTCCATGATAGTTCCATCCCAATAATCCCCTTGCAATCCCACATATGCCCGACATGCAGGAACACGAAATACCCTGGCTGTAATCTTGGCATAATCCTCAACAGATCACTGCGACCCCAAGCCTTCGCCTTAGCCCAAACGTTCAAACAGATCTCTGTCTCCAAAAGCTTCCACCTCGTAAAAATCTTAAACCCCAAACGCCCAAATTCTAAACCCAAAATGTTAAATCTGAAGCCCTAACCCCCCAAACGGCATCAAACCCTACGCAAGGCCTGGGAGGGAGCTGCGGTCGACTTCAAGCTTCGACCGCTCTGCCTATGGCACCCGAGTCTGGTAGGGTAGTACTTCCAACCATATGGTTTGGGTTCAAGGCTCTAAGGTTCGAAGGCTACGGTTTCATTTTCGGAAGGGTTTCGGTGCCTTGCATAGATGATTTGGGGGCTATAGATCTTTTCCTGGAAAACGCGCAAGTCAGCAGCTATATCTTCTGTACCCTAAATATCTGCCTGCCATGAGAGCTTGTAGAAGTGAAAGCAAATGTTATGTTATCAGGAACCCGTAAGGCTCGAGCAACCAGCAGGTCCCGGACTCTCAACATCACGGCTCTTTGCGGCGTTTGAGGGTCCTGTGGTGGGTGATTTGGAGGCATGCATGAAGAAGGACCAAAAGCCGGACTCAGACAGTCATTTTCCAAGGCAGCACCAACCTAGATTGATAAGATCAGCTGATTGTTGAGGCCGGTCATGAATAACGTAAGGAGCACATCATTGCCAGGTATGACTCCGCACATATTTGCCGCTTGGAGCACTACAGGGACTTTGCCCCTGCCTCGGAGTTTCTTCGTAGCTCACTCTCCTTTGAAAATCAAAGCACAGCTTCCTGGCACCAGGTCTTCCGCAAAGGGCGTGATTGGAGCCTCAATCTCAGAAGGCGCTGTAACAGTAGATGAGGCCACCTCAATCTAGGAACGATTTACAGTCCAACTGGCTTCCGCTTCTGAGTGTTGAGCAGCCTGGACCACTCACCACCCAGGTGGTGGGTTCCCGGAAGACTCTTTCGGTCAGGACCATGCGCAGTACCACCAAATGGTAAAGAGTGCCAAACAGAAGCATCAATGTGTGCCATCGTTGCTTGGTAGAGCTTCCGCTTTTACTCCTTGGGTGGGCGGAAATGTTTGTGTCGCCAAAATCATGTAAGCGGGCACAAGCAAGAAGATGGAAGACAGTTTCACGTGATGAACATGTTCTTCCAGGAGATGCAGTCGGAGCTGCGCCCGTTCCTGAGCTGCTACGGTGTGTTATGTAACAAAACGCATTCGTGGCAGGCGTACCGCAAAGATGGGATTCATTTGTTAGGGTCCCCGAAAGCTGACCCGTTGTTTTTGTGCAATCCCAGTAATGGAGTCAAGTGGATCACGCCAATCCGAGTTTCAGGCGCAGCTGCTGCCGAGGGCTGCTGGCAAGAGGTTGCTTGCAGCAGAGAACAGGTCAGTGATAAGCACAAGAACAGTGACTGCATCAGAAAACTATCCTTTGAAACTAAGCAGAACTATGATAATTGCGATTTGCTTCAAGTGTCTTGCTCTAGGTATCATGCCGGTGAGTCAGACAGAACTAGCATGAACCTTATCGCGTCTTTCCGAGCGTTATGAGGTACACAAGTCTTTCGGCACATACCTCTACGACGATGGCTTGGAGCTCAGTAGTGTCGATGCACTGTTCAGGACGAGATCATCCTCCTAATGGATCCAAAATAGTGGCATCTTTACTATACGCAAGGAAGCTCAACCATCTGGAGAAACTCCTCAAGAATTATTAATAGCAGGAAATGCCTGGCTTCTGGGTTGGGTGAGCAATGGAATTATCTGCCTTTGCCCTTGGTCCGAAAACAAGGTGGAGGTCCCGTGGTCGGACATTTGAACGGCCGAAGGTGCAGCTTTACGTGCTGGAGTGAGTGGTGAGGAAATTTCTCAAACATGTCCAAGGTGCAAGTCAGCATCATCCCTGCCGAAAGTTTTAGGTACTTCAGTGCTTGAGTGACAGGTTTACCTCGGACCTACAAGCTAGCGGCGGCTCTATGGGACGAAGATTCCGGACGAAGGCTTTGGAGGTGGCTTGTGACATTGCCAGGTCCTGCTATCTGATCTAAGAGCGTATTCCGACAGAAGGTCCTACAAGGTACTGTCATTTTTGTAGCTTACATGACTGCTTCATTGTCTAGATGCCTAATGACATTGTGGCGAAGGATCTAAGAGGGACAGCTGGGTTGACTCAGGTGGCATCAGCGGAGATTACGTGATCTGGCTCTCCCTTCTCTACAGCTTGCAAGTTGCAGATGCCGATGCTTCGATAGTCAACTTCTTGTCCTTGCACTTTGTGGCTTGGCACTCCTCACCGCTTCTTGGCGCAGAACGCCTCGGTGTTGAGATGGGTGAGGCGAAGTTTCCTTCAGTGTTGAAGCGGCTGCCAGAGACTTGCGGCTGGCGCAGTGCTAAACACTGTGGCAAAGACTCCCCAGGCGGCCCAGTAGAACTGCGTCAATCGATACCGCTCTTGCTTCGGCATGCCATGGCGAGAAGATGGAGATCGAGCGAGGAACGAGGCTTGCTGCTTGTCTCTATGCTAGAAGGCTGCTGTTCTGATTTTTCAAAGCTCTGCTCCTTTAACGGCGCATCCAAGCTTGCCCCAAGGCTTTGGTTCAGCACGCTGCAAAGCTTAGCGACTCGACTTTGAAAGCGCACGCCACTGGCTTGCCTCATCGCCTTATGGGTCTTGCATTTACACGTAGTGATGACAATGTAGTGACTTGGGCTTTGACCAGACGGCTGCATTTCAAGGCTCAGCCCCATGGCATCCCGGCACATCTTCTTTGCTAGCCACCGCAAGCCGACCATTCTTCATCCCCACACCTCTGCAAGTAGCAACCTCGAAGTATCGGGCCAAGGCGCTCACTGCTGTGACCAGCTGTGGAGTCTGATGGCCTAGAAAATGTGGCCGAAGACCCAGAGGTGATTGACGTGGCGATTGCTTGTGTGCCTTTCAGCAGGAGAGAATTCAACGTGAGCCCTTTCTTGCAGTGCGCCTGCATCCAAGTCAACCCGGAAACAACGCAGAAAAGGCTCACACGGAGCCAGGCCATAGCCGTGCAGCCTGCCATACAATCATCTACCGATGCCCCTCTGGAGCCTGAAGCTCAGAACTTGGGCAGGTGTTGCAACTTGACCCTGGAAGGGATGGAAGCCAGGGGATCTTGAAAAGAAAAGTATTAAAGATTGGGATGACACTTGAAGCCCTGTTCTCAACCATCGGGCCCAGAGATCGTCAAAGTCTGTAGCTCTCGTGCAGGGCTCTTAGAGGATTTGGGATGTTTTTTGCGAAGGGTCTCAAGGGGCTTCATGAGAAGACATATAGCAACCATCTAAGTAGATCGCTCGTTGTATGCCAATAACGGCATAGCGGGGTGATGATAAACCCGTCGCGGAGGGAGGCGATGACGGTTGCGGAGCCCCCCTGAGATGCCGGCGGGGGAAGTGGTTCTTCAGGCTTCCATGATTTGTCTTGCGGATTCTGTGACATTTTCGGACTTTCTGAAGATTCGGCTTCGGCATGTTCGGACTTGGTGGGATGATGCCGACATTGTTTGACTTCCATGCTGTTAGTGATGCTGTTGTCATCCATTTCAAGGCAACCCCACTGTCCTTGCCTTCACGAGTAGTGACGAAAATGCTGTGGTCTGGGCTTTGGCGAGACGGCTGCCATTCAAGGATCAGCCCAATGGAATCTCGTCACATGCTTTGCTAGCTGCTAGACACCGAAAACCCTAAGCCATAGACCGATTAGACCGTTCTTCATCCGAGTCCCGAATGCCTGAATGCCCCACACATGCAAGTAGCAACCTCCAAGTTCTAGTGTGCCGGTATTTGCAGCCGCGGCAACGCGCACTGTTGAAGTGCAGTAGTTGTTCGTTGTGTATTTATTGCATTCAATGAAGTTCACCAAGACTGTCAGGCTATGTTACCAGGATGCGAGTTGATGTCTGTCAAGCTTTTCTGCAATCATGCATATCATATATGTGCAAGGGTTATTTGTTTCGGGGTGCGGGCCTGCACAGGCCTGCAGCCGCGCATCGGCGTGCGGCGGCTGTTGCTACGCCAGCGAGGTGACGGTATGATCTTGCAACATAGGAGGGCAAGGAACTGAGTAAGTGACGTCTGTGCATATTGGAAAGAGGTGACATCGTTAACAAGCATCCGCAAGAAAAAACTCATACGCCTTGTGTACAAAGCCTTTTATCCGAAATCGGGCCAAGGCGCTGAATGTGGAGTTTGTTAGCTTAGAAAATGTGGCCGGAGACCCAAAGGTGGTTGATATGGCGATTGTTTATTTTCCTTTTTGCAGGATGCTTTCGTAGGACAATTCAGCGTAAGCCCTTGCAGTCTGCATGCGTCCAAGTCAACCGGACACCTCGCAGAAAAGGCTGACGCGAAGCCAGGCCATATCCGCGTGGCCTGTCAAAGAGTCATCTTCCGATGCCCCTCTTGGAGCCTGAAGCTCACTAATTGGGCAGGTGGAGGGCATGGAAACGAGGGCCTCTTGAGAAAAGAGTGTATGCAAAGATTGGGATGACACTTGAAACCCTGGTCTCAACCCAGAGATGGTGAAAGTCTGTAGCTTTCGCACGGGGCTTTGAGAGAATTTCGGATGCTTACTAAGGGACTTAGCATGTACATAGCAACTATTGGAGACGATCGCTCCAGCGAACAGTAGTGGTGCTGAACGTTGCAAGCATGTGTTTGCAAGTCTTTTCAGTCTGAACTGCTATCGCCCTGTCTGATGGTGACGACAGCTGAATTTGCAAGTACCGCCATGTTCAATACCTCTTTTGACCAACGTTAACAGTCACTGCTTCGCCTTGTACAGCTTTGACTGTCAGCCCTGAATGACCCTCGGCTCTTACGGCTCGAGCCTTTGTTTGGTCGAGATGCTGTCTTGGCAAAACATCTGGCACCTGCATTTGCAGGACCAAAATCTGACTTTTCAGGTTCAAGGTTTCTATACTCGCCTGGAAGTTGGTCAAACATTGCAGCAGGTGACTTCAGTCGGCAGTCTGGGTGGGAGTTAGCGTTTAAAGGTTTAGGGTTCTTGATTTGTTCAACAGCTTCGCGATTGAGAAAGGCGCAGTTTCGGCTGGATTTCTGCACAAGCCCTTCATGCAATTCTGATAAACGTGCCGCCGGGACCTTTCGGGAGGGATCGTGAGCATCACATCTGGTGCCAATCCCTCTCCCTTTGCATCCAATTAGGTTGGTCAACCTTAGTCAAAACCGTTGTTCCTATTGGCTTTCTACAATAAACCATCATATGATTCTGATAAACGTTCTGCTTTGTACCGGCATGTCCAGGACCGATGGCGGCAGCGCGCTGCAACCAAGTTGCAAGCACCTCGTCGCACAAAGAAAGGGCTAGGCTCAGAAGCATGAAGGCTATTGAGAGTGAAATCACGTCAAATCGCTAGCTTTTGGTAGGGCTCAGTCGGAACTGGCTAGGCATGTTAAAGTCCTGAGGGCTTTGGAATATGTAATTCATGTAAGGTTGAATTCCGATCACACTTCGACAACCCCTTGTGAAAGAAGCGCTTGGCTACCGGAGCCCTTGAGCCCCAGAGAACACAGCTTCAATTCGCAACTTTACAGCTACCTTTCTCGAAGTTTTTGAGCAGGCCATGGTTCGCGCCTGGCTGGCACGCCGTCGTGCGCAGCGCTCAGGCTTCAGGCCAAGGTATGAGCTACGTTGGTTCTGTTCTTCTCGTAGTTGGGACCCGGGGTTGTTTCGGCTTGCAGGCTGCAGCTGGAGTGGTGGGGTCAGAAGCCAAACTACCCTTGAGCTTCCTTTAAGGCTCTGGTCAATATCAGGCTTGCCAAGAGACCATTAAAGGCTGGACGTAGTCTCGGAGGGCACGTACTTTGGGTAGTGAGCAACGTAATGTAGTGTGCAGTCTGAGTTTGTGAAGCAAAGCAAAGCAGAAACCCGCCGAGCAGACATGTCAAGTCGGAGCGGTTGAAACAAAAACCTACGATTCCCGCCCAGCCTGCTTAGACCAATCCCACCCATAAAAGGGGTGAGCAGACATTGAAGATACTAATTAGCCTTGCCTATGGAGAAGGACGAAGAGAGCCCTCCAACTACTTTTCGTACAT